TTGTTTAGTAAATCAGTCTCAAAACAAGATCAAGAACACTTTTTGGCTGGATATAAGATTTTAAAACATGGTAAGATGGACAATTTTTGCAGTGAAAGGCATTTGCAATATATGATGCAAAGTCAACTTTCTTTTTGATATGTACAGCGTTTTTATGACAACTCAAGGAAACAGTTAATTGCGGTATAGAATTGAACTGTATGCCTGAAAAATACAAAATATCCCCCCCAGCTCTTTTTCGACCAATAGTAAGAATTCTTCATCCCTAACATGAACATATCTGAGGGTACACATCCACTTGTCCACATCATGACGGTAGTAAACACTCCAAACTGAAAGAGAAGGATAAAAAGGGAGAAAGCCGAGAAGGTGAGATGATAAAAGACGTAGAAACTTGAGTGTAAAATAGTGGGTGCAGGTGATGAAGAGGTTAGAAAGAAGACAGAGAAAAGAAAAGGAGAAGCACAAGAGATTCATCTAACCCACTCAAGTGCTGCATGTTTGATTTAGGCTCCACTGACTCCTGACCAGCGGTAACACAGGTATACCGCAGTAAGTACAATCTGCACGGGGAGCAGACGACTCATTAAAAAAGCCCCAAATCATGTCTGTGTGCCAAACACCATCTGTTTTCACTGAGACATGCACACACTCTTACACACATGTCCACATTACTTGAAGTAACTGAACAAATGGACCAAGTGCAATTAGAATTTACTTTTCCTGAATACAAAACACAATCATAATGACAGTTCAACACTTGGAACAAAACATCTCTTATAAGACAACAAGTGGCATCATCTGAGCCACCACATATTGTTGTATTACCAAGCTCAACATTCTCAACAGGGCAAGTTTTATTATATATTGCATTACAAAAGCAACACTCACTATAGCGAGAAAACAATCCCACCAGTGAATAGCACTTCACTTGAGCTCAGCAGCATTTATTACAATGGAATGCAGCAGGAAGTAGAGGAGGACATGAGTGAGAAACTTGGGGAACTGTAAGATACGTACCATTGGGGCTCTCCTCGTCAACAGTCACAATGGTTGCAGGGGGGCCTGGCCGAGACAGCTTACACTCTGCATAAACAAAACCTCAAAGTTAAAAGTCACGACAAAAACAGCCTGATTGATGTGTGTTAACCAGAATTCATTTCAGTTTAACAAAACATTTAGGAAWGCACATTTTGTGAAAAGTAATTAAATAGTAAAAACATATTATTTGTTATATAAATTTAGCACAAAAAGTGAGGAAACATGCGTTTGTTAGCTTAATTCTTTGTTGTAACAATGCTTATTGGTAAAAAAAAAAATCATATACCATTGAAAACCCTGTTGCAACATGTAAAAACAYGCATTTGTGGGATGATAGGTTGTACACATGAAAACACTGCCAAATCCTCTTTGCCAAACAACTATTTTTGCTAATGATACTTGTTTTAAGCTTCTAGTAGCCCCAGGTGCCCAGTTAAGGGTTTATTGTAAAGAGTTGTTAAAATAAAGAAATAATTTACAAAACATTGCATTTCCAAGGTTTTAGGAGGTACACTTCTGAAATCAAAATACTTATATGTGTTCTTTTTATTTTACTACTTGTCATAGGTGATTTAAAAAAAATGTAAATAYTAAGCCAGAGTCCAAACTTCTATGACTTCATAAAAGTTTTGATAAATGACTCGATCAAACAATCAAAAGTTAAACTACCATGGAGTATTTCAGATAATGTTTTAACCACTGTTCAGGTTAGTGATCAGTACAATCTGTTTGCCCAAATTCTGATTTCTACAAAGATAATTTACAGTCTTTATTTTTACAGAATGGATATGTGCTTAAACCAAAGTCAAGGCATTGAGGTCTCTGATGCAGACTTTTCAAGATTGTTATTTTCTGTTTGTCAACCAATTTTTGCAGGCATTTTACCCTGCCCTTGATAAAACGTACACAAATAAAGCTACAATTTTTTTTTGTTATAAAAAACTCTGTTGAATAAGAAACTGAAAATGAGAGCAGCTGGTGTAAGCATTTGAAKATGTTTTTATTTTTTTCCCTAAATTTTGTGAAGCATAAAATTAGTTTGATAAACTAGTTTTGTGACTTTTGATAGTTTGGTAAAATGWGCATTCCTCTTTATATTTCTGATTAGTTTCCTTTATAGATGTGTGTCTATTTATTTCCTTTCTGCACTATTTTAAGTCATTCTAAACTAACAAACTACAGTGATAAAGTGAATTAAGTCAAAGTGGGATAATTGTTGGGTGTTGTTTTTATTTTTTTTATCATTATATCCATCCATCAATTTCCTTTATCTGTATAATTCTGTGTAGGGTTGCAGGGAGCCTGTGCTTCTTTAAGCCCTCAGTGAGTGAGATTGAGGCCACATATTGCCGCTGTTTGTAAAGTTATACGTTGTATACATATTTGCATATCATCATTACAACATTTAAGTTAAAAAACTAATTCTCACATACTGTACCWTGATAAAAAAGCGTAAAGGATGAACAATTGCAGAGTCTACTGAATTATGGTAGTCATTWGAATGTGTTCTCCTAAAAATCAAGTAGTTTGGGGGCTTTGTACTTCCAGATTAAGTTTAAATACAAAAAACAAAATATTGTTTTTTATGTTTCTACTGGATTTAGAAGCCACTGTAATTATCATGTGGAAATACATTTCAATCAACTGGCTTCAGTATTTAAATTAAAGTTTCAGTAAGACCCAAAYAAAATGTCATGACAAGAGTGGCCAACACTCACATTGAAAAAGTGACTTTAAATGCTATGTTGCACTGGTCTAGAGAATTAAACCAAAAAATACAGTGTCTCTCTGTCACACAGGTGGATCATTTCACAGCAAATAGCTTCAATGACTGCTGCAGCAGGAACATCCACAGTAATTGACTGATGATTCTGACACGAGACAAACAGGGTGGCAAAAGCACATGGTAACATCAAGAACGGAGCAGGAGTGAGCRAAGCTTCACAGATGGAGGTCACAGCAGCTAGATGGTATAAAAGCACATGGGACACAGGTAGTGGCAGCATGACAGGCAGCACCAGATGGGGCAGTGGAGGGGGTTGAGGAGGAGGAGGAGGCGGCAGAAGAAAGGGAAGTGCCTAGTCTAGGAGCACAGGCGTTACAAGGCAGTTTGGATGATGTAAGGAAATTCTGGGATTAAATGTTTTTTTTTTTTTCATGCTACAGGGTATGGCCAACGAAAATGGCAGAATACAGGAAGGTAATAACACAAAMGGCAAAAAGACAACAGAGGCTTGCCCTCTTACCCTCATACTGCCAGTCTGAAGGAGTCAGAGGTTAGTGTAGCCAGAGGGAAGCAGAGTAGAAGCATGAAAGGAAGAAAGTTAAAAAGAGAGAGATCAAACATTTAAAGGAGACATAGCATGCTAAATGCACTTTTTTGCATTTATAAACTATTTTTTGTGCAATTATAGTGTCTAGGAGTGTAGAAAACTTTAATTTATTCTGTCCATTTACTGCAAAGATATGTTTATATTATTTTATAGGTCAGATTTTTCAGTTTGTTCAAAATCTGCTGTTGCTTATTTCGATTCATTGTTTATTTTGTCACACTTTTTTCTTCGAAACTACCATTTATGGTAATGTATTTCCGGCCAACTGGATTTCATAGTCCACCATTTTTTTCYTCRCTGTGTGATTTTGTAGTTCATAGCGTCATGCCGAATATGCAAGTTCAGAAGTCAAAATGTTCGGTTCTGGGGTGTGTGAACTCACATGATTAATCTACATAGACTACCAGCATCACAGTTTCTTCAAAGTGTCTGGTTAAGTTTTATTTTTCAAGGAAATGGACCCACAACAGGGCGGAAAGTGCTTGCGGACAACACAGGATGAATGTTACAACARCAAAGGTGAGTTAYRAACTATAAATGTCTTTTAACTGYCTAATTTAKCTGTTTCTACCCTCTGTTTTRGAATATGAGGGGAGAAAAAACAGCTKTGTTTAAGTTTCTTTACCAAACGGGTGCTCAGCACCATGTTTTACTTTCAYTTTTGCCCTGCACTGTAATCAGCGTGTCTGTGTTGTTTTTCTTTTTAAAAATGCCGGAGTGTTTCAAACTGTGATCTAAAGTTAACATCAGCTGTTTTAAATGAATTTTTTGTCTGGTGTTAAAAACGGGAGCAGCAGAATGAGGCAGAGAAGCTGTGAGCGCTGTGTATGTGAAGTCCTCATAAGGATAGCAAGATGGATGTGTGTCTCTCCTTTTTTCTCTGTGTTGCTGTTTTTGCATCAAAAA